TACGATTCAGTAAATATTTAAATATTATGGTAGATATTTATGTACTTCTGTATAAAGCATAAGCTTGTATATGTGTGTGAATGTATGTCTATAGGATCTACATATACCCCTAACAAAACAATGTATTATAATAACACTAATTTATTTTTCTTAGTACAATTTTTAATTTGGAATTTTTAACGATACAATTTTTTTACCCACTATTACAAAATCCCATGCTCTTAGTAATTGCAGAGACTAGAGTATGTCCTAGTTATTTATCATATCACTTCAAATGAGACTTTTTAAGTAACACAAAAATTCAAGAATTTTATTTACATTAGCTACGAATATAATTGTATGTACATATATCTGTCTCAATTTTTTAAATTATTTACTCATTTTTATTACATTGTTATAACGAATAAAAATTAAGTACTTATATCTTCAGCACAAAAACATTACGAATATACACATACGCTGCCGTAACCGACGCAGCAGACAGGGCAGACACTAAAGCAGAGGGCACACCACCTAATGTTAGTACATGAACACTCACATACTGGAGACCCGCGCGACGACGCCAAGTCTTCACTCATCGCTACTTTCCCCTTGCCCTGCAAGTGGTTCTACCCCGCTATTTCTACCGAACGTCTTTAATTAGATTATTTTAGTAAACGAATAGACCTGTTTACAAGAACAGTTGTTATAAATAAAAAATTTAAAAACTGAAGTAGCTTAATTTTAAAGTCGCGAAATGTCGATTCATTAATTTTGTCATATATAATCTTTGTTGTTTCAAAAAAATACAGAAAAGCTATTTAATTTTTTGACCTTACATTTATTGCTACAAAGATAAACAGTAAAAGAGTCTTTTTAATTCTGAAAATGGCTAATAGTATTTATCGTGACCTGCCAAATTAATTGTTAAAGACCTTGACATCAAAGAAAAAAAGTTGGTTGAAAATTTAGTCGATTTATTAGCTTTTTCATAATTATTTTAATACACTACTCTTTATAGTTTTTGAAAAAAAGTTAAATATGACTGACGGTTTGTATATTTTTTTTCTTTTTTTTTTTTTTCCTTTCCAAGACACGTAAACCAAAAGTATATAAGTTTTTAATGAATTTCAAAGTTCTTGAACAATATTCTCAATAAGGCAAAAATTGGTAGATTAAATGTTAAACGCAAACTTCCTACGTGAAACTAATTGTCAAAACTGGGAATTTAGTAAAATATGCATTTAGCTTAAAAAAAAAACTAAAGTCGCAAAACAGTTGTCAGCAGTTTGCACGCCTTATGTTGTTCGCTCTGGTGTTAAGAATCAAAAACGTTACGATCTGACGAAAAGTAACTCTCTCGTGTTAATCTGTAAGAGTTTGAAAAAAATACCTTAACTACTAAGTAACCTTATTTTCTTTGCAAATTAGCTTTATTACAAAACAACGTATTTTTTGATAAACTTGAGTCATTACTTTGTTTGCAATTTTCAAGCATTTCGAGACCTTGATAAATTATTCAACTCGGATCCTAACAGTAATTAGCTACTAGAAAGCTTATATAATTTTATTAAAAATATTGTTGTAGATACCTAGATGATAGCAAAAAAACAATATAATGGCAATCAGGTCGCAAAATGTCAGTTTAGAATTCTGGTCATTAATCTAATTACTTTTTGTAAAAATTACCATTTTTTTTGGACTGTTGTAAATCACTGTAAATCACGTATGTAAATAAAAAATTTAAAACTGTAGTAGCTTTAGTAAAGTGTTTCGTCGAGGGACGGATTTAAACTGAATCTCGTCTAGTTCCACGTTTCAGAGTCGCACGCACCTCATTCTTCCCTGGAGCCTTGCGCGCGCCCGCCTCCGTCGTGGATTGGCTCAAGTCTAATCGGCGCAGGGTTGGGAGGGGCCGGACTTTACGACTTGGCAGTTACTCTTCGCTTACACGCTCTCTCTTGCTTGGCCTGCTGAATTGGAAGCATCTTCACGCTTAGTGTTTTTTTACCGCTTACAGTTGCACCGTCAGCAGGAAATTTCGCCAGGGTCGTCGAGCCCCAGGACTTAGGACATCGTCGTCGAGACGCTAAGTCTTTTATTACAATTCATTTAGTTCTATTTCATCTTCATCTTTCATTCTTCAACTCGATCTACACCTCATTCTTTCATGACTTGCTCCTTGCACTATCATATCTCTTATTAATTTCACCTCGTGCTAGTTCTGTGCCTCAGCACCTCTCATTTTGATTATTTGGTCATCGTTTATCCATCGATCTCTTATTCGATCTCGCTGCCACCTCAACTCTTTTAGCTCACTCGTGCTCTCTTCTTATTCCGTGTTTAAGGTCATAATCATCACAATCATTCGGGCTTGTCCTCCTCACCCCACGCACGTTCACGTCTGTCACATTGTCCCCTTGCTCATTCTCCTTGCGCATCCTCATGTAGAATCTACCTTTAGTCGCCTCACGTCTACGAACTTTTATCATCGTCTGCACCTCATCTTACACGACCTTGCACATCCATCATCATCGTGGTTAAATTTTCTCCATCCATCTGCATACAATCACAACACTACACACATTAATCATACGTTTATTATACCAATCACATGTCTGTTATACCATACTCAGTGCATATCATCATCCCGCTGTTATTACGCCACGCCTCACCCGGTCCATCCCATTTCTCGTTCCGGTATCAGGATCCTCACCCGACTTCGTCACTCAGAACAACCATTATCGTTGAGCTACCGCAAGTGGTAGCTAATTTCGTCGGCCCGCGTTTACCAGCCTTGCGCTGACTCGTGCGAGTCGTGCGGCCGCGCAGGGCCCGCCGGTTCGCAAATCATTCGTTCTATTCGTCCATCGTTTCTCGACCTTAAACTCGTGAGCGTTTGGAGTTGTCACCATCAGGTCCTTTCCCTTATACACACACGCACACCATCACATACTACAATTCAAACAATTAATGTGTGATCTCTTCTTTAATTGTAATCTCGATTCGTGCCAATAAATCTTGGATTTTTATGCCATAGACTTTTTCCCATTAATTAGTGGTAATTAATTGTGTTCATCTTCCTCTCCCTTTAATTCTATTTATTGAATTTGATTGAGCGTTCCCGATCAACAGGATCCTTTAATTGACGTCAAGCGTTTCAGTCTTGTAAGAATAGGGTATTGACGCCATTGACTTATTGGAAGGGAACCCTGTACTGTTTGATTCAACTTCAATAATAACCATGGCCAACGACGGCAAGGATACCAAACAGGGACAGTCAGAAGTAGTAGTTATCGGAACATCAAATGTAGGAGCCCCTATGGGTCATTCGACTTTTATCGAGAAGCAACAGCTCTTAAAGCTTCCAGTAGCAGAACTCTCTAAGTTCAGTGGCGGTCACGAAGAATGGCTGTCTTACAAGAACTCGTTCCACACTATGATTCACATGCGTAATGATATAGATGATCTCGTTAAGTTTATGTACTTAAGGAACACGTTGCAGGGTGAGGCGTTGAAGAAGGTTGCGATTTATGACGTTAGTGAGAGAAATTACAGCGTCGCTTGGAAAACACTCATCGAGTCGTACGAGCAAAAACGTATTCTGGTATCAAAGCATCTCGACGCCATTCTTGATATTGGTCCTCTTTAATCTGCTACGTCCAAGGATCTCTCGAGGATGGTGGATGATGTCAAGCAACATTTGAATACTCTTGAATCGTTGGGTGTGAAGGAGTATCCACGTATGATTGTTAGGTTGTTAGAGAGAGCTTTGCCCTCTTCTATTAGGCAAAAGTGGGAGGATTCACTAGGGGTAGACGAGCTTCCATTTCTAGAACAATTTTATAGGTTTATAGATAGAGTTGTGTCCAGGCTTTACACCATGGAGACTGACGTTCCACGGGGCAATGAGTCAACAGCTGGGAAATCGATGGCCAAGCAAGACTCTGAGACACGAAAGGCGCGAAAGACGAACGACGGTGGGCGCGTCTTAGTAACAAGGTCTGAGACGTCTTTTGTACAGTGTAACGAGCAGCATTCATTGTTTCGATGCCCAGCGTTCAATAACTCGCCAGTACAAGGTCGTTGGGATTTAATCAGTTCTCACCGATTGTGCTTTAATTTTTGCGATCTCACGGGAGTAAATGTACGTTAGGTCATTGTAAACGCTGCGATCGATATCACAACACTTTGCTCCACACAGATCCAAGATCGTCCCAGAATCCAGCCCAGTCCACCGGAAAGCTATCGAGTAATGGCGGAGGTGGTGCGTCATCGGCGTGACTAGGTTTTTACGTAGTTAGCGCTGTTTCCCGAGCTCGTACATCTGAATTGTTAATGAGTGCTGTTGTTTATGTCAAATCGAACTGGGGGAAGTTCATCCAGGGTCGTGCTTTGCTAGACACCTGCTCAACAAACCACTTCATAACCGAAAAATTCGTTCAACGGCTACGACTTCCAGTGCAGAATCAGGCGATGCCCATCAAAGGATTCGGGGGTGCTGGCACTAGCTCGAAGGGTAGCATTCAAATCGAGATCCAAGGCCTACGCAGTCGAATTGACATAAAGCACAAACACAAGCATATGCACAGGCACAGTGCACAACGGCTTGTGCTAGTTTATGGTAGTAAAACTTAACCAATAAGTTATTTTAGAATATCTTTACAGATTTGGTCAACGTTATTAANGTGAGAGGGATAGATGACATACCAAACTGTAGAATCTGCTGCATTGACAATATGGGCCTACGTACGTTTTAGCACAATTAAGCGTGAGAGGGATAGATGACATACCAAACTGTAGAATCTGCTGCATTGACAATATGGGCCTACGCACTCAAATTGACATGAAGCACAAACACAAGCATATATGCGCAGGCACAGTGCACAACGGCTTGTGCTAGTTTATGGTAGTAAAACTTAACCAATAAGTTATTTTAGAATATCTTTACAGATTTGGTCAACGTTATTAATTATTATCGTATATTACAAAGTTTGTGTGTTAGTACGTTTCAAGACATAATGGGGGAACATAGTTATTTTAACAATAAAAGAATGTACAGTGATGTGGAGGGTGAAAATAGTGATAACGAGAATCTCAAATCTAATGATTTCGACTTACTTTTATTAAATGAAATTAAAATACTTGAGTGTATCTACAATCCAAAAGCAAAACAAAAAGAAAATGTACGTCATGTTTGGGAAGATATAGCTATATCACTTGATTCAAATGGTAAAATTTAAATTTTGTAACTGTTTAAATGTATATAACAATATAAGAAATACACACTTTGTGTAGCGACAGAGTGCCAATCAAGATGTAAGAGATTGAGGGAGTATACGTGTAAAGAAAGGAAAAGAAGAGAATTAAATCCTGAATCAAATATTGGAGGATGGCCATTGTATGAATACGCCAACTTCCTTGAGCCATTTATATTAAAAAAAAAAGTATTGACTAAATTAGTTATATGATTTTTAATTCTATGTTTCTAGATTCTTAAACTTTATCTTGTTTCATATTTTATGCAGACTTTACAAAAAAAGAAAAAATAATAAAGAAATATCAGTAACAACAAAAAATGTCGATACAAAAAACAATGGAGGAACAGAAGGCAAAATTTCAGACATGGATAGATCAGTCGAAGTTGTAAATTTTAATGAGAGTGAAGCACAGAAAGAGGCACCAGAGTACATTACATGTTTGGATAGTTATCGTTATATAGAATTGTTAAAATTATAAAACAATTCTTTTAATTGCATATGACCTACGTATCAACAGAAATATATNCACAGGCACAGTGCACAACGGCTTGTGCTAGCTTATAGCAGTAAAACTTTACCTAAGTAAACAATTAAATTAACTTACTAGACTTTGATGAAAGTTAAACTGACTAAGCTTTGTTTAAACTAATATTCAATTATGAATGATCAAACCGATGTTCTTAACCTTTTAAAGACTCTTCAAGAATTATTAAATATTATGCACGAAGTTAATTCACTATATCAATATGAAAGAAGCAAAACCTGGGTTAATCAAAAATAGTTGATAAGATCAATCAATCAAGAAAGAGTCAGTAAAGGATTTTTTAACACCTTGTATAAAGAATTTAAAAAAGACGAGAAATTGTTCTTTCAATACACCAGAATGAATTTGAACACGTTTCAATATATATTAAAGTTAACAAGACCTTTTCTTTTAAAAATAAAAAAATCTGTAAGAATTGTGTCGGCAGGAAATTCGAGGAAATTACGCGCAATTTTTTGGCTATTTTTGCAGATATTTCGAAACAGTTTGGGTGCCCATGTTACACAGCCATTTCATAGGGTATTGGATTGTCTTGTCGTTCCAATTATAACTAGTGCGATCCCAAGTGAACCATTTCCACGAGAGATAGTTGACCTTCTCAAAGGAATCTGATTGGCTGATCCCCAATTCCATATTCCCCGTCCAGTCGACATTCTTATAGGCTCAGGAGAAACCTTGTTCGTTTTGTCCATTGGCCAGGTCCATTTGTCTCGAGATCAATACGACGTATACCTCCAGAAAACTCTGTTAGGTTGGGTTATTGTTGGGGAAACGAACCCAGACCGCGAGGCCAAAGCTACCTGCAGTATAGTGAAGTTGGACACACAATGGACGAGGTTTTGGGAATTGGAGGAGATTGGAAGTAAATTGGCGTATTCTTCTGAGGAGAAAGCATGCGGAGAACATTATGTCAGGAATGTTAAGCGTACTTCAAGCGGAAGATACATGGTCAGGTTACCCTTTAAAGAAGTAGATCCTCAACTCGGAAATTCGCGGTCGAAAGCGTTTCGACAATTGCAGGCTATGCGACACCGATCTAAAGCAAACCCCAATCTTCAACTCGAATACACAAAGGTTATGCAAGAATATATAGACTTAGGTCACATGACATTGACAGAAGATAAGGATGCTGGGGGATATTGTATGCCCCATCATGCGGTTGTCAAACCATCTAGTATCACAACAAAGACTCGCGTAGTCTTCAATGCGTCTTCCAAGACCGATAAAAATCTCTCGCTGAATGATGTGCTCATGGTGGGCCCTACAATTCAACCAAAACTCTTTAACCTCCTCCTCAGGTTTCGCGCTCATACTTACGTCATTACTGCGGACATAGAGAAAATGTATAGACAGATTTTAGTAGATCCCCGGGACCGGTCGTACCAACGAATTCTATGGGTACATCAGGGTAGAATTGAGACTTACGAGCTGAACACGGTTACCTTTAGAGTGTCGTCTGCTCCTTTTCTAGCAATTAGGACGATTCATCAGTTAGCAGAGGATGAAAGGGCAAGTTTCCCTAGGGCTAGTGTTATCTTGAAGCGGGATTTTTATGTAGATGATCTACTTACTGGGGCAAATTCGTTAAAGGAGAATTTGCAGATTAGGGATGAGTTAATTTAATTATTAATTAGCGGGGGTTTTTCTATTAGAAAATGGGCTTCCAATCACGCTCACGCACTTGACGATTCAGAGGGAAGGGTCTTTAAAATGGATAGCTTAACAGAGGGGGATCCGATAGTTAAAACTTTAGGTATATCTTGGGATTTCCCTATTAGACTGTTTTTCACATATATTAAAACAAATAGAAACGCCCCGAACCGTCACTAAACGAGACCCGATACTGTTACCATCGTGCCATCACGTGACCGATCTCATCATAAGGGAGGTTCATTACCCTATGTTGTATGCGGGAATTCAAGAGGTTGTGTAAGATTCGTCAACGTTTTTGGTTGCTTGATGGAAAAAATCAGGTTAGGCGTGTTGTTAGACGTTGCGTTACGTGCATTAGATATAGACCAGTGACCCTACAAGCGAAAATGAGCGATTTACCCCAGGTGCGCGTGCAATAAGCTTCGGTTTTTGAACACGTAGGAGTAGATTATTTTGGTCATATCAACAAAAAAGAAGAAAAATTCAGGAATCGAGTAATTTTGCCAGCGTACGGTTGTGTGTTTATTTGCATGCCCACCAAATCAGTCCACATCGAGATAGCGAGCGATATGACAACCGAAGGGTTTATAGGAGCCTTTAAAAGGTTCATAGGGCGTAGAGGAATTCGAGTTGCGCGAAATTTACAATCTCATTCATTCAGAGTCGTTCCGCGATAAAATCAACAATCACACCGTAGCACATAATATCGATTGGCACTTTAATCCACCAGATATAGGTTTTTTTAGAACTCTCCAGCGAGCGCTCAAAATCCCAAATGCATTCTCTTCTCCTAGCTCGAGAAAGCCTGTAGTTAAAAATTCTTTTTTTATAATCCAAGTTACGCCCTGGGTATGGACGCATCATGTACTTCGTAAGACCGAATGCTTCATCGCCTACAAAAAAGTGTGGGAGTTTTATATTTGTACATGGTAAATTTTGCCCTTCAGGCGGTAAATTAAACGTTCCTTCTTCCAGTTGTTTTCCAAATTTACTTCGGTTAAGAATCCCTCCGTCACTTTCACCCCCAAGAGCACCAACATGAACAATCGTGAATTCATACCTGCAGTGCATAAATATCACTGATAAGCTAAAAATGTACATTAAGATTATTTATTTATTTACACACAAAGTTTAATAATAACCTGTGATTACATGCTGCTAAAAGAACAATACTATGAAAGCCTTTGTAATTATAAAAATTGGATCCAGAATTAGGCGAAGCATTTATTGCAATGTGTTTACCATCTAATTTTAATGAGAGTGAAGCACAGAAAGAGGCACCAGAGTACATTACATGTTTGGATAGTTATCGTTATATAGAATTGTTAAAATTATAAAACAATTCTTTTAATTGCATATGACCTACGTATCAACAGAAATATATCTTATTTTCTAATGACTTTTTATTAGTTCAAAATATTATTGACAACATTTATTGTAATAAATTAAATGATATTACTTATTTAAAGCTTACTATTGATGATTATTTTCTTCTTATTCGTTATCAGAGTCACTATAAAATGCAGCTAAAAAAATTCTAATCTCTTTTCTTCTCTTTTTAGCCTTCGTTGGACTAAGTAGGTTTAATTTGGTTGACGTTCCATTTCCCACAAGATTATGCAATTTTTCATGAGTATCACCAAATTGCAATTGGATATCTCTACTTGAGTTCTCAACATTTTGCGTAATTAATGGTTGTTTGCTACTGACAGTGCCATCCAATATTGACACTAATGAATTAATTGCTGATTCAGCTTTCAAAAGCACTTGATTGACAGCATCAGGCTTTTCACGAGCAAATTTTAATTTTGCAGTGGCTTTATTACCAGTCATTATTAGTTTTTTCTTATCACAAGGCACCAAGTTAGTTCTGCATCTAAAATGTTTCTTGTATTAACAAATGTATGCCTGTCACTGCTACTTGTATTGAACACATAATGATAACTTACTCTCTTGTAGACTTCTTTGACATAATACTTTTCATTACGTCAAAAAGTGGCCAACTTGGTCTTTTGGAAGCTCCAGAACCACTTCTGCTTTCCTTATCCTTTAACTGAAGTTCAGTTCGGTACCTATCTTGTAGATACTCCCACCGTCTTTAGCAATTTGAAACTAAAAGGAAATTAATTAATAGAAAAACAAGAAAACATGTGAAATACAGTCGAATTTAAAGCTTTTGCCACACCTGTCATATGTGCTGCAGCAGATATTTCTACCCACGACGTATCTTTTATGTCTGAGTCCTTGTAATCCCTTAAACTTTTGTCGTACACTGGCCGGACATTGATTCGTTACACGCGAAATTTAAAAAGTTTTTAGAAAATTTTGAGCACCACTGTTCCGTAAATACTATAAGTATTACCTACTATAGGTAATGGTAATGCTCCACTTAAATTCGTACGGTAATGCAATTATCCATGGTACAGAAGAAAACGCCTTACCTACTTCATGTGGTAATTCGTCTTGATACAAAATTTATGTATATACTGCATGGTGACTTTTGATTTTGTTGGCATTGCTTTGGAGTTTTGGAGTAGATTAACGAATGTCGTGAATTATGGGATTGCTCTAGCTAATAACAGAGTATACCTAATTGAACGTTTGAGTGGGAGCGGATAATGATCAACCCACTGAACTCTGAAACACTCTCAGATAAGTAAAAATTTTACATAATTTAATGAGTACAGATTGTCATAATTTAAATGACAATTTCTTTGTGTACAATGTTTTATTTCAGGAATCAGTCATACAAGGTAAAAGACAAGTGTTGAAATTGTACTTGAATAAAAAAAGTATATATCGCACATTAAGACAAAATTAGACAATCAAATAATTCGAGAGAGACAACTGGAAGCTTCGCACACATTTAGTCAATAAAAAAAACTGCATTTTCATTCAATAATGACAGATTATACCAGCAGCACTGCATTGGAGCACTAAATGTGTGCGAACCTTCCAGTTGTCTCTCTCGAATTATTTGACTGTCTAATTTTGTCTTAATGTGCGATATATACTTTTTTTATTCAAGTACAATTTCAACACTTGTCTTTTACCTTGTATGACTGATTCCTGAAATAAAACATTGTACACAAAGAAATTGTCATTTAAATTATGACAATCTGTACTCATTAAATTATGTAAAATTTTTACTTATCTGAGAGTGTTTCAGAGTTCAGTGGGTTGATCATTATCCGCTCCCACTCAAACGTTCAATTAGGTATACTCTGTTATTAGCTAGAGCAATCCCATAATTCACGACATTCGTTAATCTACTCCAAAACTCCAAAGCAATGCCAACAAAATCAGAAGTCACCATGCAGTATATACATAAATTTTGTATCAAGACGAATTACCACATGAAGTAGGTAAGGCGTNTTATTACTTATTTTTTATATATGTATATTACAGGCGAATTTATGTCAAATTCATAATACATCTGATAGCACAATGGACATTGGCAAGGAAAAAGAACAAAAACAACTTGAGCTTCCTTCTCACAAGCAAACTGCTTATAACGAGGAAAATGAATCTTTAGCTCGATTAGTGGTTGCAAAATTAAAAAAAAATTAAAAGTCAAGAAAGACAGAATGATTTTGTACGCGAGTTGATGAATATAATTTTTAAATAATTATAATTCCATGTAGAAAATTTTGTTCAAATTTTTATTTTATAGTAATACACACGTTGTGCTTCACTTATCGACAACACAGTTCGACAACATTTATTGTAATAAATAAAATGATATTACTTATTTAAAGCTTACTATTGATGATTATTTTCTTCTTATTCGTTATCAGAGTCACTATCAAATGCAACTAAAAAAATTCTAATCTCTTTTCTTCTCTTTTTAGCCTTCGTTGGACTAAGTAGGTTTAATTTGGTTGACGTTACATTTCCTACAAGATTATGCAATTTTTCATGAGTATCACCAAATTGCAATTGGATATCTCTATACTTGAGTTCTAAACATTTTGCGTAGTTAATGGTTGTTTGCTACTGACAGTGCCATCCAATCTTGACACTAATGAACTAATGGCTGATTCAGCTTTCAGAAGCACTTGATTGACAGCATCAGACTTTTTACGAGCAAATTTTGATTTTGCAGTGGCTTTATTACCAGTCGTTATTAGTTTTTTCTCATCACAAGGCACCAAGTTAGTTCTGCATCTAAAATGTTTCTTGTATTAACAAATGTATGCCTGCCACACTGCTACTTGTATTGAACACATAATGATAACTTACTCTCTTGTAGACTTCTTTGGCATAATACTTTTCATTACGTCAAAAAGTGGCCAACTTGGTCTTTTGGAAGCTCCAGAACCACTTCTGCTTTCCTTATCCTTTAACTGAAGTTCAGTTCGGTACCTATCTTGTAGATACTCCCACCGTCTTTTGCAATTTGAAACTAAAAGGAAATTAATTAATAGAAAAACAAAAAAACATGTGAAATACAGTCGAATTTAAAGCTTTTGCCACACCTGTCATATGTGTTGCAGCAGGTATTTCTACCCACGACGTATCTTTTATGTCTGAGTCCTTTTAATCCGTTAAACTTTTGTCGTACAAACAAGGTCGTTCTTTGATTAAGCTTATCAAAAGCTCGTCGTTTTCTTTGTTAAAAATATCTAACTTCTCTTGAACAGACGAATTAGTCGCACCTGACTCACCTTGATCAAACGAATTCATTGTGAATTATCAAAATTGCTTAATGACAATGACTTGGCTAACAAATAAACGAATCCGTTTTGCAGGTTAAGAATTAATATTTATATTTTTGGTACATAAAAATAACACATGGCACTTATGTACGTGAGCAAAAAAATAATATTATCCAAGGCCTACGCAGTCGAATTGACATAAAGCACAAACACAAGCATATGCACAGGCACAGTGCACAACGGCTTGTGCTAGTTTATGGTAGTAAAACTTAACCAATAAGTTATTTTAGAATATCTTTACAGATTTGGTCA